AGCTTTTCGGCCAGATCTTTTAATGTTTACCAGCCTTTCCCAGCGTTTTTCTTTCCTCGATGGTTGCCCTTGCGCTTGCCCTTGCCCGAGCCTTCCGCCTTCGATGGGGTCGGGCATGTCGTTTGCCAAGTGTTTGATGTGTATTTGCCTTTTCCTTTGCCTTTGCCTTTCTTTGTTTGCCCACCGTTCTTTCCAGTCGTAGTTGGCCTCATTGTAGCCGTTGTCGTACCATTCCACGGTTTCCCACCTTTTCCTTTGCGCTTGTCTTTGGAATCGTCGATACTGTGTGTGTGTGTCAGGAGAGGAAAAACACACAGATACAACGAATCGTCGATCCCCCAGAAAAAATAGGAAAATATGGGAAGTGGGGGGGAAGACACAAACCCAGAAAATGTGGGAAAATATGGGGAATCCTGTTATTTGTGTGCATTTATTTGTGTGTCCCAGAACCCCTTCAGTGTGTGCGTCGCCCCCGTCAGTCATGGCGCCGACATCGCAGAGCGGATCTCGTTCGGAAAACGATCGGATGGGCCCGGAGTGCCCCGGAGAATCTCGTTCCAGACCTCGAGGTGAATTCCGTGCGGATGTTGTTTGGCCAGGAATGAAGACGAACAAAACAAACACCAGTGATGATGATGATGATGATGATGATGCTGATGATGATGATGATGATGATGATGATGCCTTCTCTCACTCTGCTGATGCACCTGGGCGCACCTTGACACGGATGCTCGGCCCGCCTGGGATTTGCCTAACCCAGGGGTGAGCTCGCTGGCTTAGCCTTCTCGGGCCAAAGCACTACTCACGTAATGCATCTGCTGTCCAATCTCTGGAAAGATAGCCGACCATGCATATGTGCGTGCCGGCGTCCACGGGCACTTTGCTGCCAAGGACCAAACCAGATGCAACCACCTTCCAGCCCCAACCAACCAACCAAAACATTTCAAGCGAGCGCTGCCTTGAAGTCAAAGCCGCAAAATCCGATCCTGTTGTTGAAGCCTTTGACACGAGAGACTAAATTCGAGGCGCAAAGCCTCCAGCTCACGCGAATGATTGCGCCAACCATCGAGGACCACACCTTGTTCAGCCTCCGTATGGCGGAGACGAGGCGCGAGTTCCCCCATTGAGGGAAATACGGGACCACTAAGTACAGAACGTCTTGCTGTGGCCAAGCTTTTTTGGAATGAGTGGGGAGCATGGGAGTAATGGTGAGTTCATTCACAAAATGACGGGGCGCACCAGATGACAACATCTGGTTGCGAAAATCTTCCGCTTGCCGCTCAGCCTCAGACGTGTGCTTGGAGAGACGGCGAAAACGGGAGAGTTGCGAGAAAGGCCAGGCCCTGTGAACATAGGGGTGATGCAAGGAGGTGTGGGAGAGTGGGGTCCATTGGGACGTCCTCTTCACAAACACCGAATATTCGAGGGCTTTCATTGTGTGGGTACTCCTCGGAAGCCACACGCGCACGTCTAGGAACGTGGCGCGTCCATTCTGGACTGATTCAACTTCTATCTTGAAAGGGTGGGCAGTAGACTGCAGCCGGCTTACGAATGAATCGACGTCTTGACGCGGACCGTCGAAAAATGTTATAATGTCGTCCTTAAAATGGAAGTCTCTTCCGAGACCAATGGCAACACAATACCCTGGGTCTTCTAGGAAACCCTGCTCGCTCAACTGGTAGATTGGTGCGTCACTGATCTCGCCTGGACACGCCACCCCCATCCCAAATCCTCTGACTACCTTGAAGACTGCGGGGTAGTGGTCAAGCGTGACATATTGATTTGCCAATGCGAACTTTGCTGCAGTTTTGTACCGAAGAAGTTGGGACCCAGAGAAGCATTTACTTGATTCACGTAGCAATACGCCATGATCCCGACACATCAGAATAATCCATAATGTCCAGCTTTACGATTGTCAACTTGTCAGAGCATGCCATAGACTTGATTTGGCTAAGAAAATCGCGTGAATCTCGTAATATGTGGCTCTGTCGCTTCAGGAACGGCTTCAACTCGCCAGCAACGAACCGGCACATCGGCAACAAGGGTGATCGCGGCTGGCTGCAATGGAGAGGCCGCTTATTCTCTGGTTGAGCCGTGCACGACATCAAAGCCCTGAAAAGTGTCTGGTCTGGCTCGTCGTCGCCATACGTAGCCACTTCCTGAGCTACTTCACGTAGCTCTTCTATGATGTCGAAGGTGTCGAAATTCTCAGGCATGGGGTGATACGAGGGCGAATCAGACAAAATGCTCTCGTACTCGTCTCTCAAAGTACTTTTCTTTATCATGCAAAAGCCACCGTCCTTGTCTGTTGGGACGGCTCCCCAAAGACCCAACTTCAGCTTCAATCGCGCATGTTTTACAACCAGTGGCAACTTTGGCAAAGGTCCAAATTTCGATCTAGCAACAACCATCGTCTTCCAAGCACACGAGAAGACTTCACGCATGTATGTTTCACCAATGGTGTCCATTTCGCCGGGGCAGGTGCTGACGTGGAGCGGCCTGACACGAGCATGCTTCCATTCACGAGTCGGCTCAACATCGCTCAGCGCCCGTCTCCAGGCGAGCTTATGACGTAAATCAACAAGGGCCTGGCTGCCCTCTTCGAGGTCGGGCAAACGACGTTCAGCAAAGATGTGTGTTCCTGTGGTGCCGCAATAGGAACTCGACGTCCCAAGAAAGCTCACCCCGCGTCGGGGGTCGCGCGGACCTCGAATGCACGTCAAAGATGTACACTCCTGGGCCTCCCCGTCCGCATCGCAATAAAAGGCCCAGGCCTGTCTTGTCTAAACCCGAAACTTGATGCAGAAATGCCTTCATCGTTTCACGATTGTGGCTACATGAGGGATGACATTTATGAGAGTACTCTGCACACAAATATTCTCGAGCTTTTCGGCCAGATCTTTTAATATTTACCAGCCTTTCCCATCGTTTTTCTTTCCTCGATGTTTGCCCTTGCGCTTGCCCTTGCCCGAGCCTTTCGCCTTCGATGGGGTCGGGCATATCGTTTGCCAAGTGTTTGATATGTATTTGCCTTTTCCTTTGCCTTTGCCTTTCTTTGTTTGCCCACCGTTCTTTCCAGTCGTAGTTGGCCTCATTGTAGCCGTTGTCGTACCATTCCACGGTTTCCCACCTTTTCCTTTGCGCTTTCCTTTGGAATCGTCGATACTGTTTGTGTGTCAGGAGAGGAAAAACACACAGATACAACGAATCGCCGATTCCCTAGGAAATATGGAAAAATATGGGAAGTGGGGGGGAAGACACAAACCCAGAAAATGTAGGAAAATATAGGGAATCCTGTTATTTGTGTGCATTTATGTGTGTGCCCCAGAGCCCCTTCAGTGTGTGCGTCGCCCCCGTCAGTCATGGCGCCGACATCGCAGAGCGGATCTCGTTCGGAAAATGATCGGATGGGGCCGGAGTGCCCCGGAGAAACTCGTTCCGGACCTCGAGGTGAATTCCGTGCGGATGTTGTTTGGCCAGGAATGAAGACGAACAAAACAAGCACCACGCGATGTTCACCTCGTCTTTCGCTCGCCGTCTCGGGGTTCTGCACTGACGGAGGTCCGCGCAGCAGCCCGCTGCAGCACGTCCTGCAGGGTCGGTGCGGTGACATCGTGGGCGGCGCGCGGGCCGAGGGCCGAGGGTGTCTCGAAGTGCGTGCGCCGTGGCGGGCGCTCTCTGGCCACACCGCTCGGGAATCGGCACACCACACTGGGTGGGCATGCTGCCCTCAAAAGGTGTGGATGTTATCCAACATACGGGGCGTGAAAACGACCACAGCCAGTGCTTTTCTTGTGTTGCCGCCTTCCAGCCCGCAGAAACAAAGCAGTGGTTGTGGTAATTTTCCTTGAGCCTGGCACCAGGGAAATGACCACAATCACTGCTTCTTTTTCGGCCGGCTGGAAGGCGGCGCAAACAAGGAGCAGTGGCTGTGGTCATGTTCCAGTCCCGCACAACAGGAGCTTCGGGAAGACAGCACTCGTGCCGACGCCCGGGCACCCGAGGCCCGCGAGGGCCATGAAGAGTCACCCGCGCCGTTCACAGCATGCTGCAGGATCGGGCCGGGCGCGCGCCTCCGAGGCGGGCGCACAGCACGGGCACGTCTCCGCGCGCCCTGGGGTCGCGCGGGCCCGCGCGCCGCCGGGGCTCCCCGCCCGTCCCCCCCCCCGCCCGAAGCTCTCGCCCGCGGCGCCGGGCCCTGCGGAGCCCTGCGGAGCCCCGAGGGTGGCAGGGCCCTGGCTGGCACGGGCTGGCGCGTCCCCGACTGGAGAGGAGCCTGGCCGGAGGGAGGCGTGCGCAGGATGCCATCGGCGGCTCCAGAGCGGGGGGGCCGATGTTCCACCACCGCGGCCATAGGCAGGAGAAGGGGGAGGAGGAGGAGGAGGCGGAGGGAGGAGGAGGAGGAGGAGGAGGAGGAGGAGGAGGAGGAGGAGGAGAGAGGAGGCGGAGAGGAGGAGGAGGAGAGGAGGGAGGAGAGGAGGAGGAGGAGGAGGAGGAGGAGGAGGAGGAAGGAGGAGGAGGAGGAGGAGGAGGAGAGGAGGAGGAGGATAGGAGGAGGAGGAGGCGGAGGGAAGGAGGAGGAGGAGGCGGAGGGGGGAGGAGGAGGAGGAGAAGGAGGAGGGCTTCCCAGACGGGGTCGGAGTGGGTGGGCTCGGAGGATCGCCTCGCATCGCCGATGCATCGGCGGTGCGGCTCGACGCGGAGCCCGAGATTCTCAACCAGTGGCTGTCTCCATCCTTCTAGGACTCCCCGACGGGGTCGGAGCAGGTGGGCTCAGAGGGTCGCTCCGCATTGCCGATGCATCGGCGGTGCGGCTCGACGCGGAGCCCGATCGTCTCCACGCCGACGCCGCTGATGCATCGGCGATGCATCGCCGATACACCGGTGGTGCGATCCTTCGACCCCATCTACCCCGACCCCAGCTGGGAGGCCTCTGATCCTGCCTTTCCTCCTCCTCCTTCTCCTCCTCCTCCTCCTCCTCCTCCCTCTTCCTCCTCCTCCTCCTCCTCCTCCTCCTCCTCCAGGTCCTGGCGGCCAACGACGTTCACCGCGTTCAGCTGGCAGAACATGGGCCGCGAGAAGGGGACGGGTCCGAGGACCAAGGGCCGTCGCTTCTTGCTGTCCTTGGAATTCCAGGCGCTGATGACCGTCGCCGTTCTTGTAGATCTGGGCGCGTTCGTAGTCGAACAAGTCAGGGCAAGGAGAGGTCAAGCGGTCTCGACTTGGCCCCTGCAAATCCACATGAGCACTCTGGCCGTGCTTTCCCTGGAGATGATTGGCAATGTGATCTGCTCTGGTCTGCGAGGCTTCGTCCGAGACCGGTGGAACGTCTTCGATTTGATCATGTTGGTTCTCCTCCTGCACATCCTCGTCCCGCTCCCCCATCCCTCTCCTCCGACTACGCCTCGTCCTCTCCTCTTCCAACCCCCTCTCCCTCTTTCCCCATCCTCGTCCTCCTCCATTCCTTCTCCTTCTTGACACCGTTGGGCTGGGCATTTCTCCTGAAACTTCCTCACCACTGGTGGTCCTGAAGCCTGAAATTTGAAAAAGTTCCACGGGCGGGGGCGGGGGCGTTTTCGAAACGGAGTCATCGCTTTAGCGCCGCGAAAATTCGCTTGACTCGTTGCCATAACTACAAGATTTCATGTGGGGTCGGAATCGAGTTCTCGCCGTAGCGCCGCGCGCATTCGTCTTAGACTCACAACCAACAACAGCTACAAGGATCGAGGTGGGGGTCTCCTTTAAACTGGAGCTCGAGGCTCCAGCCTTAGCGCCGCGTGCATTCATGCTATAATATTGCAGCAGCTACCAGGACGGAGGGGGGCCATCTTTAAAATGGAGTTCTCGCTTCAGCGCCGCGCACAGTCATCTGATCAGTTTTCAGCAGTTCGAATGAAGTCGGGCCTGTCCCTCTACAGGGGCAATGTTCAAACATAGTAAAAAGATAGTCGGGGGACGATGTTTTGACTATGTGTGAGTATTTTGAGGGGGTATGTTTGAGTATGTGTTATGTTTCGCCCAAGATCCCCCTGTAAAGGGGGACACGCCCGACTTAAAGTTAGAAAGGGGAAGGGCGGCTTCTATTCAAGATGTGGTGGGGCTGTCGCTGCAGAGCCACGCGCAGTCGTTCTGCAGGAGTTCTCGGCGGCTGCACGGCTGGAGCACGCCTCCTCTTTAAGGAGAGGGGTTCTCTTCCTTTGAGTTTTTTTTTCACACAAAGAGCAGACGTTTGATTCTCTCTTTATACATATGTATATATATATATATATATTAGGTATATGAGATATTTTCTTACTCTGAAAAGTGATTATAAACAAGTTTATACTATATATACACGTTCAGCCGCTGCAAATTTAGAGGGCGAGTCTTGCTCAGCATGGAGTTGGTGCTTGAGGCTGTCCCGGACTCCACCGCCATCGGCATAACGTTGCGTAGCAGCTGCGCAGGTTGGGGCGGCCCCTTCTTAACACAGATATCGTGCTGGTTCCATCGCTGAGCATTACACATGAATGGCATGTGTATATATATAGACATATATGCATATGTTCATAGTTATATTTAACACTATGTATAGTTATAAATTCAAGTACGGATGCTCGCATTCCATGTTGTTCGCTTGACGGATGCAGCGCAGGTCCTTCTCAAACAGGTGGTCTCGCTTGAATGGCAGGCCCAGTGGGTGCTGGCCTTTCGAGAGGGCGCCTGTTTCATGGAAGGGCATGGCTTGTAGGGACGGGAGGTTGTACTGCAGCATCTTTGATACAGCTTGGCTTTATATCTGTCTCACTCTTCTCCTCCTCCTCCTCCTCCTCCTCCTCCATTCCTTTTCCTTATACATAGATTCTCCCTGTCGCACCCCTGGGCAAGATTTTTAGGGCGGGCCGGGCGTTTCGCCCGAGACTTCCTCACCATGTATGATTCTGAAGCTAAGAAGGGGGCAACAGTTTCACATATTCAGGGCGGGTCGTTTTCAAAATGTGGCTCTCGTCTTAGCGCCGCGCACAATCGTTTCGAGAATTTGCAAGGGCATCACGGATTGAGGGCGGGTCGTTTTCAAAATGTGACTCTCGCCTGAGCACGGCGCGGCGCACATTTGCTTCAAAAGTTTGCAAGAGTTTCACGGATTGAGGGCGGCTCGTTTTCAACATGTGGCTCTCGCCTTAGCGCCGCGCACACTCGTTTTAAGAATTTGCAAGAGCTTCTCGGATTGAGGGCGGGTCGTTTTCAAAATGTGGCTCTCGTCTAAGCGCCGCGCACATTCGTTCTAACATAGTGTAAGAGTTTCACGGATTGAGGGCGGTTCATTTTCAACATGTGGTTCTCGCCGTAGCGCCGCGCACATTCGTTTGAACAAATTGCAAGAGTTTCACGGATTCCCATGGTCAGCGTACCAGAAATGGTGTTTTGGAGGGATTCAGGATTATGTGGGTGCAACAGTTATGTTGATTCGCGGTGTTGCAAAGATGGCGTTCTGGCACGATTCCGGATCGCCAAGGCGCAGCAGTCAGGTTGATCCGTGGCGTTGAAATCCCGAGAGCGATGTTTTGGTATGTTTCAGTATCTCTAAACGGTCGTCTTCCAACGAGGCAGGTCCTCTGTGGAATTGAACCGTTGTAGGGGCCTATGAAGAGGGACCTTGGGAGGGCTGATTCTAACATCGTTGATGCCTCCTGGGTACACTGGTCCTCCTCCTCCTCCTCCTCCCTCCCCCTCCTTCTCTTTCCCCTCCTCCTCCTCCTCCTCCTCCTCCTCCTCCTTCTCCTCCTGGTACTCTCCTCCTCCCTCTTGTCCTCCCCCTTCCCCCTCCCTGCCCCTCCCCTCCCTGCTCCCCCTTGCCTTCTTCCTCCTCCAGGCCCTGTGTGCCGCGCTGATCGGCGGGCCAGCTCCTCCTCTCTGCGGCGGACTCGTCGCAGCCAGGATGACCAGGTCCCCCCCCTACTCCTCCTCCTCCTTCTCTTCCTCCTCCTTCCCCTCCTGCTCCTCTCGACTCCTCCTCTCGACTCCTCCTCCTCCTTCTCCTCCTCCTCCTCCATCTCCGCTCCTCCTCATCCTCTCGACTCCCCCTTTCGACTCTTCCTTGTCCTCCTCCTCCTCCTGCTCCTCCTCCTCCTCCTCCTGCTCCTCCTCCTCCGCCGCCACTCCTGCTCCTCCTTCTCCTCCCCCTCCTCCTCTCCACTCCTCCTTTGTACGTTGCGCGGACTTTCGGTGCAACGCCTGTAGCCTTCAAGTCTCCAATCATCCTCCCTCCTCATTCCTCCCTCCTCCCCCATTCCTTCTCCTTGTACAGAACTTCTCCCGGTAGCACCCCGAAGCCAGTTTTTAGGGCGAACCTGGCGTTTCGCCTGAGACTTCCCTGCCCTTTATGATTCTGACGCTTAAACAGTGGCAACAGTTTCACACATGGAGGGCGGGCAGTTTTCAAAATGTTGCTCTTGCCTAAGCGCTGCGCGCATTCGCTTTAAACAAATGCAAGACTGTCACGGATTGAGGGCGAGTGGTTTTCAAAATGTGGCCCTCGCCGTAGCGCCGCGCACAATCGTTCTAATATATGGCAAGAGTTGCATGGATTAGGGCGAGTCGTTTTCAAAATGTGGTTATCGCCTCAGCGCCGCGCAAATTCGTTTCGAATTGTTGCAAGAGTTTCACGGATTGAGGGTGGTTCATTTTCAAAATGTGGCTCTCGCCTCAGCGCCGCGCACATTCGTTTTAAGCATTTGCAAGAGTTTCACGGGTTCCCATGATCAACGTAGCAGAAACGGTGTTTTGGAAGGATTCGGGCTTATGAGGGTGCACAAAATTTGTTGGTTCGCGGTGTTCAAGTCCCAGGATTGGCGTTCTGGCACGATTCAGGATCGTCGAGACGCAAAGGTCATGCTGATCCGTGGCGTTGGAATCCCGAGAACAATGTTTTGGCATGTTTCAAGGTCTTCAAACAGTTGTCTTCCAACGAGGCTGTTCCCTCAGTAAAGATGAACCGCTGCAGGGGCCTACGAAGAGGGAGCTTGGATGGAGGGTATATTCTAACATCGTTGATGCCTCTTGGGTTTGCACTGGTCCTCCTCCTCCTCCTCCTCCTCCTCCTCCTCCTTGGCAACAGCTTCACTCATGGAGGGCGGATCGGTCTCAAAATGTTGCTCTCGCCTTAGCGCCGCGTGCATTCGTTGAAACACATGCGAGAGCTTCACGGATTGAGGGCAGGTGGATTTCAAAATGTGGTTATCGCTTTAGCGCCGCGCGCATTCGTTTCAAACATTTGCAAGAGTTTCACTATTGAGGGCGAGTCGTTTTTAAAATGTAGTTGTTGCTTTAGCGCCGCGCACATTCATTTTTAAAAATGCAAGGACTTCACGGATGAGGGCGAGTCGTTTTCAAAATGTGGTTCTCGCCTTATTGCCGCGTACACTCGCGTTGAACATTTGCAAGGGTTTCACGGATTGACGGCGGTTCCTTTCCAAAATGTGGTTCTCGTTTAGCGTCGCGCGCATTTGTTTCAAACTTATCAAGAGTTTCACGGATTCCGATGCTCCACCTAGCAGGAACGGTGCTTTGGAAGGACTCCGGCTTTTGAGGGTGCGCATTTTATGTTGACTCGCGGTGTGCAAGTCCCAGGAATGGCGTTCTGGCACGATTCAGGATCGTCGAGACGCAGCAGTCAGGTTGATCCGTGGCGTTGGAATCCCGAGAACTAAGCTTCGGCATGCTTCAGGGTCTTCAAACATTTGTCTTCCAACGAGGCTGTTCCCTCAGTAAAAACGAACCGCTGTAGGGGCCTATGAAAAGGGACCTTGGAGGGAGGGTGTATTCCAACATCGTTGATGCCCCTTGGGTTTGCACTGGTCCTACTCCTCCTCCTCCTCCGGTCCCTCCTCCATTCTCTCAGACGACCTCCGGGCGCCCTGTTTTTACCGTCCTCCGAGGTTTGCCGAGGGCATGTTGCTCACGCTTCGGGTCTTCCTTCGCCTGAGGCCGCTGACGCAGGCGGCCAGGAACAAGGTGACGAACGGCAAGATGAGGTACGTCGACGTGGAGAACAACTTTGACCTGGACCTCACCTACATCGACCGCCACCTGATCGCCATGGCAGTGCCAGCCGGTGGATCCCCCAGCGTGGGCATGCTCGTGCGGAACAGCTTGAGCGAGGTGGCTCGCTTCTCTAGGGGAACCAAAAGTGGCATAAACATAAAAACTCGGAGGTCCGAGCGGATTTCTCGGATCGGCGCTGGAACCCCCTCCCTGGCGCGCGGAGCGCGCCAGGGGCGGCGCCGGAGGCGCCGCCGGGGGGCCCCAACGCCGATCCGAGAAATCCGCGCGGACCTCCGAGTTTTTATGTTTATGCCACTCTTTGTTCCCCCAGAGGTGGCCCGCTTCTTCGAGGCGAACCACCACGGCCACTTCAGGGTCTACAACGCCTGCCCCGAGCTGCCGTACCCCGAGGCGCCGCTCCGCCGAGCCGGAGGCAGCACGCTGTGCCTGCAGGTCCAGGACCACAGCCCGCCCCGCATGGAGCAGCTCCTCGAGTTCCTCGCCGACGCGCGCAGGTTTCGCAGCGAGTCCCAGGACTCGGGGGAGGAGGAGGAGGAGGAGGAGGAGGAGGAGGAGGAGGAGGAGGAGGCGGAGGAGGAGGAGGGCGAGGAGGAGGGCGAGGAGGAGGAGGAGGAGGCGGAGGCGGAGGCGGAGGAGGAGGAGGAGGATGAGGAGGAGGAGGAGGAGGAGGAGGAGGAGGAGCAGCAGAGAGGAGAGGAGAGGAGAGGAGAGGAGAGGAAGAAGAGAGGAGAGGAGAGGAGAGGAGAGGAGAGGAGTGGGAGGTCTGGGTTCGCCCCGAGGACAACGTCGTGGTGGTGCACTGCATGGCGGGCAAGGGACGCACGGGCACCCTCTGCTGCGCCTGGCTGCTCTACCTCCGGAGGCAGGCGACGGTGGAGCAGGCCCTCGAGTTCTTCGCGCGGAGGATCGGCACGAACGACATGGGCACGGAAAGAATGGGCACAATGCCCAACAGCAGTTCCTGTTCATTTTGAACAGGACTCGCGGTCCGCGCCGCCGTGGCTGTGTCCGTGTGAGACAGAGGGCCGCCTGCCCAACAGCGGCCGCTGTTGGTTTGGGACAACATTTGCTGCTGGCCATCGTACAGAGTTTGGGCATTCTACCCACTCCTTCCGTACCCATTTCGGGCGTCCAACGAGGAGGACAGACACGCGCTTTGGAGGCAGGCTGCGCGGCGTCGAGACGCCGTCGCAGGTCAGGTACGTGACCCAGGCGTTCGGGGAGGAGGTCATGACAGAGACATCGGCTCTCGGAGGTCCGCGCGGACTTCCCTGGGTCGGCGCTGCGCCCCCCTCCCTGGTGGGTGGAGCACGCCAGGGGCGGCGCCGGAGGCGCCGCCAGGAGGTCCAGCGCCGATCCGAGAAGTCGGCGGGGACCTCCGACAAGGTGATGTTTACGGCATTGTTTTTTTTCCTGCAGGTGTTCCAGCATCTGCAGAGGACGGATTCGTGGTTTGACAGCCCATGGCTGCCG